CTCTCTCTCTCTCTCTCTCTCTCTCTCTCTCTCTCTGTCTCTCTCTCCCCCATACACACAAAGATCTGTAGGGCTTTGTTTTGTTTTGTCTTTGTCTTTTTGAGACAGGGTCTCCCTGTAGCCCCAGCTGTCCTGGAACTCACTATGTAGACCAGGCTGGCCTTGAACTTACAGCGATCTGCCTGCCTCTGCCTCCAGAGTGCTGGGACTAAAGGTATGTACCACCACGCCCGGCTTAAAGATCTGCAGTTTTAGAGTTAACTGAGAGTATTACTAAAGCAGAGCTGGGGATGGTGATCACTTGGTAGAGTAGAGTACTTGCCTAGCATGCACCAAGCCCTGGTCTCATCCCCCAGCACTGCATAAACTAGACGTGGTGGTGAGCCCTGTAATCCCAGCACTCAGAGGTAAAGAAAGGTAGGTAGGAGCACCAGAAATTCAAGACTATCTTCAAATACATAGTGAGTTTGAGGCCAGCCTGGGCTGAGAGAGGGGGCGGGGGGTGGGAAGGGGAGAGGAGGGGAGGGGAGAGAACTGTTTTTGAAACAATAACCAGTTTCCATATATTTGACCTGAAATTTTTACAAATGCCAGTTTGTCTGAGGTCTAGAAACAACCATTATGTAAATCTTTAAGAACATTTCATGATATACCTGTGAAGAATGAGCTTGTTGTCTTTACGTTTGCTTTAAAGTAGAAGTGGGAAACAAGTTGAATATATATGTTGTTTAAATTTTTTTTTTTTTTAAATTTTATTTTGGTCATTTTGAGACAGGGACTCCCTGTAGCCCCAGCTGGCCTGGAACTCTATGTAGACCAGACTGGCCTTGAACTCACAAAGATCCACCTGCTTCTGCCTCCCAAGTGCTGGGATTAAAGGCGTGCGCGTGCCATCACACCCAGCTTGTTTAAATCTTTTTTAAGAAAGCAGGTATAGATTTTTTTTGTTTTGTGTTGTTTTTTGAGACAGGGTCTCCTGAAGCCCCAGCCGGCCTAAAACTCGCTATGTAGACCAGGCTGGCCTCAGTCTCACAGAGATCTACCTGCCTCTGTTTTCCAAGTGCTGGAATGAAAGACATGCCACCATGCCCAGCCCTAGGAATCATTTTTAAAATATGAATTAAATACATTGGAATTCTCTTTGTTCAAAATGTAACCCTGATGATACAATTTTAATATAACTATATAGCATAAACACGATATAATGTAATATATCTATTCCTGAGATAGCTTTGAAGATTGTAAGCCATGTGGGAAAAGCGTATGTGTTTATTGTCTAGCATATTTCTGTCCCTGAGGGTGAAGCCTAAGAAACTCATGTTGGCAGTTATTTTTATCTTTTTCCCTCATTACGTATTAAAAAATAGGGTTTTATAAAGCATACCATAAATATTTGATCACTTACAATTTAGGAACATGGGGAAGGTTCATACTTGCCTTTCTTTTTTTTTTTTTTTTTTTAAATTTTTTTGAAGCAGGGTCTCCCTGTAGCCCCAGCTGTCCTGGAACTCACTATGTAGACCAGGCTGGCCTTGAACTCACAAAGATCCACCTGCCTCTGCCTCCCAAGTGCTGGGATTAAAGACGTGCGCCACCATGCCCGGCTATTATTATTTTATGTGTATGTGTGTATTGCCTGCATGTAGGTATTAACACCTGTGTCATGCAATGCCCACAGAGGTCAGAAGAGGCTGTTGGATCCCCTGGGACTGGAGTTACAGACAGTTGTTAGCTGCCATGTGGGTGCTGGAACTCGAACCTGGGTCTTCTGCAAGAACAACCAGTGTTCTTAACCGCTGAGCCATCCCTCTAGCCCCTTCATATTTGACATTTTTACACTTGTAGAAAACAAATACTTGAATAATTTGCTGTGGAACTATAGCACTTTTGAATAAGAGTATCATTTTGAAGAAAGGAGCTGTTCCTGAAGGTAGGCCTGAGGACTAGACTGTGTGGGCTTGTGTAATAGCCTTGCTACTCACCCCCTGTGACCTTGAGCAAGCTACTTAACCTTGCTGAGTCTTAATATTTTCATATATAAAGAAGGCTGGAGGTTTTATTTATAACTGTTGTTGTAAGGTACAGAGTGAACCCATAATATTCAATAAATGCTACCTATACATATTTATGTGTAATTTATTATGTATTGTTTTGATGTGGGCTTCATTAATGTCTAAACAGATTAAGACTGAAGATTGTACAAGCTCTACGTATCATTTTTAAAGCAAGTTGTGGAATGTAATATTTTGGCTGAAATTGACTAGTGACTGTAGATAAGCATACAACAGTTATTTTTCTATCAAAACAAGGAAAGATTGTATTATATATATATATACACACATATATGTATGTATGTGTGTATGTGTACATATATATATGCGTGCTGTCAAAAAGACCAAACTACAACAAACTTAGTTATAGCTCTAATTAGTTTTCATCTGTGACTCCTGGACTGGAGCCTCATCTATAGGATAAGCTCTGCTGGACAATGTCAGAAGTAAAGCGGGTTTGTACTGTTCCGTGGAAATGGAATAGTAGAAAAAAAGCTGATTAGTTAACATCAGATTAATTTTCTTGTAATCTTGGCCAAAGCAGATTCAGGACAGATGGAGTTTCCTATGATCTGGAAAAATTGACCTGTTTTGGAATCCACCTATTTCCTTACAGTTTTCGTTTGGATTCTGTGACTTCCAGCTTGGTGTTTCGCTTTGATCGTGTAGTATTTAGCCTGAGTGACTTCATTCTGGTTGGCTCTGGTCTGTTGAGATCTAGTGCTGGAGTCAGTCCAGAACACCAATTTCTCCTATGTTTTTAAATTTTATTTGGATTTATTTTTATTTTAATGTGTATGAGCATTATGTCTGCATTATGTAAGTGCACCTGTGTGTGCATTGCCCATGGAGGAGGGAAGAGAGCATCGGATCCCCTGGAACTGGAGTTATGTACGATTGTTAGCTGCCATGAGGGTGCTGGGATTTGAACCTGGGTTTTCTGCAAGAGCAGTCAGTGCTATTAACTGCTGAGCCATCTCTCAAGCCCCAACTTCTCATATTTTTAAAATTCGTTTATTTTTGTGGTACTGACAATAAAACATAGGGCCTCATACATGCTAGGCAAGTACCTAGCATTGAGCTGTATTCCCCAGCCATCATTTTTACTTTTTTTTTTCGGGTCTTTTTGAGACAGGGTCTCCATGCACCCCCAGCTGTCCTGGAGCTCACTGTTTAGACCAGGCTGGGCAGGAACTTACAGAGATCTACCTGCTTTTGCCTCCTGAGCGCTGGGGCCAAAGGTGTACATCACCACGCCCGGCTTCATTTTTACCTATTTTATTTTGAGCAGGATCTTAACTAAGTTGCCCAGATTGTCCTTGAACTCATTCTCATTCTGTAGGCCACGTAGACCATGAACTTGGGATTCTCTGCCTCAGTTTTCCAAGTAGCTATAATTACAGGCCCATGCCATTAAGGTTAGACTAACTTCTCAAAAATTTTTAATAATGCAAAGAACTTTAAAGACTTTTTAAAATTTGTTTTATTTGACAAGCCTAGTATTGGAATAGTTCATCTGAAAGAAAAAAGTTTATATCCAAAAAGTAGAATTCTGGTCCCTGATTCTAAGGTTATTTATTTTTTAGTTTCTTCAATGAGAATAAGCTATTATGTTCTCATTCTTGTGAGTCAAAGTATTTAGTGATGGGATGGACTTTTGCCTTGGTTTGTTTTGTTTTTGCAGTTCTTTGGATTACGACCAGGGCCTCAGACATTCTAGGCAAGTGCTCTACTGCTGAGCTGTGTCCCTGGTCACTTAAGAGGCTTTTGGAGAAAAGCACCGTGTAATAAGGAATTTATCTTAAGAAAAGGCACATAGTCAGTTATTAGAACCTTATTCCAAATCCAGAAGTAGAACTGTAATACAAAGCTACTAGAAACTGTATACCCAGGCCTGTTTCATTTCTTTTTCCTTTTTTGTTTTCCCCCACTGAGAAAACTGAGTCCCAGAGAGAATGGGAGGCTAAAAGAGTCCAAGAGATCAGAATTGCAAGCTCTGCTTGAATACATCCCCTCCTCACTTTACTAGGTATTTGATTATTAAGGGTTAAGCATCCTTTTATTGTTTCAGTTAATCGTGGTAACTAGGCTGTAAACAAGAATTAGAATTCTTGTGTTTAAGTCATTTAGGAGGCCAGATTTGATGATTTTTTTGTTGTTTTTTGTTTTTTTTCAATTATTTATTTAATAACCACAAACTTAGAAGCATTTCATTACATCAGCATTGACATATTCAATAACAATTTTCTGAGCTAGGATGCATCTCTTACAAAATCGGCTGTACATTTTTAGGTTGAATTATTACAGTTATACAATATTGTACTCAGTATAAACCCTAAAAGACATAAAATTAAATGAAGTTTTAACCTTTAAAAAAGATCTCCATTTCATTTTTAAAATACAGTTTCATACAGAAAACTTCATTTTTAATACAATTGACATTAAGATGTTTGCACATGCGTTTCTAATCTCTATATATCAGATTATTACTAGTCACAGTCAGTTACTTTCTGAGCTCCTTGGCATCTGAGCATGGATATAAAGTCATCAGGTAGATTTCAATGATGTTTTTCATATCTACTAATTAAGGAGCACTAATTTAAGGAGCACATTTTTATGCTTTGAATTATTATATTTTTAATCATTATATTTAAAAAAATTTTAGTAACTACATGATTAGAAGCTTTTCATTACAGCTTTTAACATATTTAGTAACACACTCCAAAGCAATAGTACATCGCTTTCACAAGTGGGTGCAAGTTTCTAGGTTCACAGTTGAATTAATATAGTTATATATTATTGAACTCAGTATATAAGCCCTGCAAGACATAAAATTGGATGAGTTTTTAACCTTTAAAAAAGATCTCCATTTCATTTTAGAATATATTGTTCCTTGCAGAAAGACTCATTGTTTTTGCTACTAACACTGAGATGTTGGCGCATGCATCTCTAGTCTGTATGTATCTGATTGTTACTAGTCATAATTGGTTGTACTTGGAACCTTGGCGCCTGTGTATGTCTAGAAAGTC